AGTAGCACCTATCTTAATTTTGGTTGCCCCTGTCTGTCTGACATCATGTGTCTGGGTTTCTGCTGCCATGAAACCCGGACACAGCATTCAAAACCCTGACTGTCCAGGTGAATCTTGGACAGGTGGCAACCCTACATGTGCACTAGCTGGCCACACACTGGTAGATTTTCATCTGAAGAGCCATATGAAAAATCTGCTCAGAACATTCACTAATGCCATCAGAGACTTGATGAGTGTCCTTGAGGCCGGACGACCGCGCGACAATGGTGCACGAAACCATGAGGTTGGCCGCGCAGTCACACACCACCGCTGTTCATGCTGGCTGTGCCCTTATTTTCTAATAGCAGACTGGGCACCAGGCAGATCTCGCAGTTTCCCGTTGCAATTCCGCCCATGCAATCGCGCACGATCGTGGTTGAAAAAAAACGAGCGTCGTAGAAAGAAGGTACATGTACTTTTTTTTAGTGATTGCCATGCCGATGTAACCCCATTGAAATCAATGGGGCCACGCGGCAACCATTGTGTGCAACCGCACACAATCACCCAAGCCTGCACCAGCCCTCAAAAGTTGGTATTAACATTCGATTTTGGAATGAATGGAGTTTTTCGAGTGAATTTTATTTGTTCAAGAAAAATTTGCTCCTGCTCCTTCATCTCTACAATCGAAACAATTATCTATTTATATGCTGCTTAACCCTTAGTCCCGCTTCACACCATTGCGTGATGTGAGAGCAGAAACGCACAATTTACCGTGTTCACGGAGTGCGTACAAACAACGCTCTTGGAGTGCCATTACTAGGTAATGGCATCCCAAACGTGAGACGCAAACTATGCTACATGTTTGACTTTTCCTGCGTTTACCACACGTGCAGCACCCATTGAAATCAATTATTATTGGTATTATAGAGCGCAACAATTTTACGTAGCGCTTTGCACATGCACATCAGTCCCTGCCCTAAAGGAGCTTACAATCTAAAGTCCCTATCTCACATGTATACATACAAGGGGCAATTTAGAGAGGAGCCAAATAACATTCCAGCATGTCTTTGGGGACGCGCCCCAAATATAGGAAACAAATGCCTGCAAATGCCCCTGCAATGCACATCCGTGCTGTGCTATGGTGTGAAAGGCGACTCACAAGCTGCAAACACAAATCCTGCTCCGGAGAAGCAGCTAAAAGGTAAGAAATCTTTTTTTAAAGTATATTTTGTCAGTATTCTGAGAACACATAGAGACGTAGGGAAAGGGGGGTTTCCTCAAATTTGACTGCAAAAGTGGAAATACACGTCAGTGATACAGAACCGGATTTGTGTTATCAACAACCCCCTCCCCTAACAGGGCCCCCTCCTTCCCCCAGGCCCCAGAGCAACAGTGTGGGTGGCTTTGGCTATTGTTACTCTGCTGATTTCATTTCACTTTTTCTCCTGGGGACAATAGCATTCAAGAGTAGACATATAGACGCAAACAACGCTAAAAGAAAAACCTGGCAGAGCTTCCAACCCTTCTTCACTTGATTCAAAACAAAACTGTTTTGTGTTTAGATGCACTTCAACCCTGAACTCCAGATATAAGAGAAACAAATCAATGCAGCTCTGTAATGATTACTAAATCATTAAATGCAAGCTGTGTAATTTGACCGGGTATCAGCTAATATGAGAGCAAATAGCAGTACATGGAGCCAATCAAGAAGCATGCTGATAAGGGGAGAGAGCAGAGCGAGAGATGAGCTTATCACTGTGCCGCTTCTCTTTTACTGTCCAGTCACAGGTAGGGTTGCCACCTTTTCTTCAAGCCAAACCCGAACACTATAGCGCTTCGCGGCAATTTATTTGTAAAGTATACCCTATGCATGTATTTTGTAAATAAATGACATTGGAGTTAATCAAAACTTGCCAGTGTGCCGCAGGTCCCCAGATATGCATTCTGTAGATAAGTGTACAAAACAGTACCCATATACCTTGCTTATCCGTCCCTCACGGCTCCCTCTCTCCCTGATGTCACTTCCTCCCACTACAGCCACGGAGGAGAGAAACAGGAGAGGGAGAGTCAAGGGACAGGAAACAGAGCCACCTGGCGTTCGCCGCAAGATATGCTAGTATGCGGCATTGTACCGTTTTGAATGATGTGCCCGGGCGGGACGTGGGCACAGACCCGGGCACATGATTGCAAACCCGTACTGCCCGGGTGAAACCCGGACGAGTGGCAACCCTACTTGGATCATGCCTGCAAAATGTTTGTCCGTAAGGCTACTTGCAGTCTGAACCAGGAGTGCATGTAACAGCGTGACAGCACAGGGACACAATTGGGAGAGAGTTGTCATCTCTTAACAGGAAGTGTCTGAACAAGGACCTTCA